GATCCCGGATCCCGGCACTGGGGTGATCCCGGATCCCGGCACTGGGGTGATCCCGGATCCCAGCACTGGGGTGATCCCGGATCCCGGTGTTGGGGTGATCCCGGATCCCGGCACTGGGTGATCCCGGATCCCGGCCGTGGGTGATCCCGGATCCCGGCACTGGGGTGACCCCTGTGCTCGGGGACCGCCTGCATTCGAGAATTACCCGGCACTAACCCCCCGGGGGAAACGGGGAAAGGCGGCCCCTGCAGCGCATTCGGGCTTGGCGCTGAAGCACCCGCAGGGCTTGCTCGCGTTTCAACGCGCGTTTCGTACTCGCGTTCATTTGTTGATTGGTTTAGCATCACTTGCCCTGTCTTGGTTCGCCGGTAATTCCATGCAAAATCTGCAAACGGCTTGAAAACAAAGTGGAAAATGATTTTTTTTTTCTTTTTTTTCTTAGTCCAGATAATGTCACAACTCTACCACTGTAAGATTAGCTGAAGCAGCTGCTGTTCACTTGTTTGGGGGATTGGGGGGTTTAGTTGCTTAGTTCTGAAGAGTTTTTAACTAGGTATGAACCAGGTGAAATAAGCAGAAGACTGACTTAAGCGTTGGGCAGAAACACCGTAACCAGAGTGCTTTGGGAAGGTTTTAATAAGAGAAATTTGTCTAGCAGACCACCAGATTTTAGTATCTACATTTTGGACCTCGGTGTCTTGGGTAGTCATTTCCCAGCCGAGCTGGGCTGCAGTGAGAGCTGGCTGCTGCTCTGGCTCTGTGTTCTGTGGTCAGTCGTGCTGTCCGGATGTGGTGTATGGACACAGGACACCTCAGCATCACAGACAGAGTGTGCTCCAAGCTCCCATCTGTGTTCTGATTCGCCTCTTCAGGAAATCTGACAGGGCTATTCAAGTTTTATTTTACCTTTCAGCAGGAGGATCTGGTTCAAAAGCGAGCATTTACATATTAATTACTTGTCATGATGCTAATATCAATTACTATACATGATCCTTGTAATTTTCTGGAATAGTAGGAAGAATTAGAGTCAGTGCCCAAAAAAATTTTGGGCTGTAATTTATAGTCTGTATTTATTTCCAGATGTCTTCCTCTCATCACCTGCAATCTTCAACAAAGGCTAAGAATTATTAAAAGAATGAAATAATCTTTCCCTGTTTTTACAATTGAGAGTGTTGAGTGGCAACGAAATGAAAAACACAGCAAGACATTTARATCTCTCCTCAGAGTTTCTGTGGGAAATTCTATTGGATGCACATCCGACAAAAATGTTTTGGAGATTAATTCTCCTTTTATCTGGCTCCTGTGAAAGAGCAGAACATTATTTTAGCTCCTRTGGTGATATACTGCCACATAAATTATTACTGCAGTCTCGCTCTCTGCTGGCATGTCCCTCACTGCTGTGGAGTGATAACAATCTGCAGGCAAAGCAGGTTGTATTTGTCACAAAATCTGACCAGTCTGCAGCAAGAAGCACTTACTGGTACACGGGCTGAGGATAATTAGAGGAGTAGCTAAAAAAGCTGCACTACACGGGGACTTTTAAACACAAAGGCCCATTATGTGAGAAATGGAGCTGCTGCAATCTCTTTTCTAAGAAACGCTGCTGCCTCGTTTCACATATGCATAATAGTTGGGCAAAGCAGGAATATCTTGTGGCTGCAGAAGGTTTTAAGGAGCCGGTGTGGCTGCACACCTTCTGATGTGGGTGATAATGGAAGTTGTTTAGGGAGATGCAGTTTCTGTGCCACACACAAGAGGGCTTTGCACAGATTCCTCTTTTAAGGATGCACCTCAGTTACATTTCCTGTCTCACTCACTGCCATGTGACCTAGGAACTTGCTTAAATTTGCTTCACATGCCAGACAACTTTACTGAGGTTTAATTRCTTGTTTTAAATAATGGATTGGGCCAGTTTAATCCATTGATGAAGTCCCACGAAGTTGGCTGTGCTGGCTACTTCAGATATGTCCCTCCTGTAATCACCCTTTGAATTGAATATCGTGTATTGACACTCCGTGGGTTTTTTTTTGGCAGATCAGGTAATACTGAGTAAGAGCCAGGACATTGTGGTATATGTCCTGTACTACGGGTCAGTCCTTTTTTAAATCCACTGAAGGTTATGCGTGTTCTAAACTGGATGTGTGTCAGTGCATAATGAAAAGATTAAATCTGAAAAGTAATGGCCAAACCTCAGAAAAAAAGCCAGTAGTTAGCAATTTCCAAGTGCAGCAAATCTGAAAATTGTAATAGCATATATTGCCTAACAGCTTTTCTCTTTTGAACCACAGGGGAAGTAATTGCGGTAAGTTTAAAAGAACAATAAACTCCAAAATCCCATTAGCTTTACTGGAAGGCTGAATAGTAAAACTGGGTTTGAATTTAATCCTTCACTCAACAACAAGAACAAAAAAAATTACAGGAGAAAAAAGAAAAGTTCTATTTCCTGGAAAAGGACTGCGAATGGAATTAGGTGTGTTGATTGTGCTGGTTGCCGTGGCAGCGCTTAATTACGGTCATTGGTGCACACTTACCCTGACTGCTTTTATTTTCCTGCAATCAGTTGGGTAAACATCTTGGGAATCCCTCCCTTCTTCAATTTTCAAAGAATTTACTTGAGTATTGCAGTCACCTCTTCACAGATACAGACAAGGCAGAGGAAATGAAATAAAAGAAACATGKGGGAAATWGAGGAATTCGGTGGGATTCTGCTGTTCCCAGACAGCACAGGTTCAGAACAGCTCAGAAGGAACTGTCCTAGAGATTTGACCTGGGAATAGCCCTGGGAATCCACGCTGGTGATTCCCAGAACACAATGCCCTCTGAGTCCACCAGCACCCACGTAACTCTGCAAGCAGGAGGGAGAGAGTAAAATTTACTGAACCAGCTCTGCCATGCTCGGGCTGGAAGAGACTGATAATTTTGCTACATCACACTCTAGGGATTAATAATTGACTGCAGCTTTGAGAGCATATTCTGAACTATCTTTGTTATTCCCAGCAGCAGATTGATGTTGGCAGATGCAACCAATGCCTAAAAGTGCAAAGTGAAGTGCTCCTTCTTCATAAAGCTAAGTCTAGATTRAAATTTTGTGTCTTTCATCCTAGCTGAACTTTCAAAG